CAATATTTCAGGAGAAAAAGATACAAATATCTTGGAGATATGAAAATAAGTACAGTATTCTTCTTTTCTGGAGTCTAGGAATACGAGATTGGAGTTTTGTACCACTGAGTCCAGTTCCTTCCTGCGCTGTGAGCTAGGCAAGGGTGTTGCTAACTTTACAGCGTCTAAGGAGTGCTGCCAGCCTACAGTGATAAATGGCCAATTTAAACCCATTTGTTCTGTGTCAGTATTGTGTTTTAACATAAATATTTTTCTACCTTTTGCGTGTTCTCCTCTCCCAAATAACAAAGTTTAGCTGTGTTGTTCCAGCCTTTGTTGTGCTGAGACAGCAAAGGCATGCTTGTCAAGTCTCTTCTCACGTGAGAGAGACCCTCTACTCTCTTGATCACTTGACTTCTCTTTCTGCACCCACCTAAGTTCAGTTTTCTTACCCGTGTCTTTTTAAAATTACCTGGTTGCGCTGGGGGTGAGGTTTCCTTTCCTTGTGCCAGTCTCACATTGGCAGTGCCTGGGTGCCCTGCAGGCTGGCTGCCGAGAGGCTTGAGTGTCTTCTCCCCGCTCACTGCCTGCAGGTGACAAGATTCCTATGTGAGTGTCCTTACACTGTTACACAGCTTAATTCTACCCTCTTTCTACTCCTCCACTTCTCAGTTCATCAAATAGATTGTGTAATACTTGTAGTCTTCTGACCTGGTGAAGCCTCTTGAATTTATGTGAGCAAGTTTTGATGTCACTTCTTGTGCCAAGGTTGATAATGGAACATTTGAAAATACCTGTCACAGGCTAGTGTTTGGGGAAATTCGCTAACAGCCTGTCTCCAGCCCAACAGTTTGGCTTTCAGCACTGCCCAGTGTAACCTTGGCTTTGAGCTACTCCTTACTTATGTACAGTTTCTCTGCTCATCTCTGTTATAACTGTGGCTGGTTTTACATGTGGCACAGTATCAAATGCTGGTGCAGTTGAGGTGGATGAGATCTATCACTTCTAAAAGTAATTTACTGTTATTCTCAAGTACATGGTAGTCCTTCCTCTGCAGGCAAGAAGAATTATTTTGGAGGGCCAGGGAGGAAGGTATACCCCTGCATGCCCTCAGGAGGTCCAGATGCCTCAGCCAGCATGATAGCAGACATGGCTGGCAGCAGATGCCTTGCTCGTGGCCTGCAGCTGGCTTGCACCGTATGGCTAACGGGAGACTGGCTACCTTTGGTTCAGTTCCCAGTCTGGAGGGGTTGACTGGAAACACAACTCTCCCAAAACTGCCATGCTCCACTGGCAGGAGTGACTTTTCTGTCTGTGGCAGTGGTGCTTACTGCCCGTTTGGGCATCTATTTACAAAAATATATGTTTTTTGGATTACCCAGCTTGTGATAATTGGCTAACTCCATTATTTTTATCTGAAAAGCCGCAGAGTAAAGTTCTGACATTTGAATAAATCAGGAAGCGACTCCTAGTCTGAGGGAGAATGCTCTTAGTGGTGATGTTCTACTTCCATGTTATAAAAATAAAATACACAAAGGGAAGCTTAAGAACTTGAATCAGGAAGAGAAGACAGACCAAACCTCCACTTCAGAAACTGGATCCTTACTTATTAGCATAAGTACATTTGAGCATAATTTGCACTTAAAGTATAAGGGCTCTGCAGTTGTATTTCTGCAGTAGCTCCTGCCCTCATTCGTTTTTCACAATTTTTTTTTTGTTGTGTGTATGCATATCGTTAATGTGGCTAACTGTTTTAAATTCTCAATTTGTGATTGAGAATCCCTTAGTGAGGACAGAAAGAGGAAAAATGTGGTATTCTTTGTCCTTTTCTATCCTTTAAAACTAACGAAGAATTAAAATAATGGGAGAAGTCTGGCTAGAATCAAAATGCATGTAAAATACGTGGCACACAGCAGCTTCTGTAAATTAGTAAATGAATAAGTGTGTGACATACTTGAGTCAAAACCAACAGATTCTATCCATGTTACAGTACAATACTACTTTACAACAACTAATATGAAATGTCTACACTTCTGTCTACCTTTTCCTGGGCTTCTGCAGAACTGTCCATTCAGTGTATGTTCTGGAAAGAAATGCGAACTACAGCTGTTGGGCTTACTTGTAAGAATGGAAGCTCTTATTTATTAAGTAAGAGAATACACGTAATGGAACAGAAGCAGTCTGCTTTTATGTTGTTGTTGTTACAGCACTCTTTGACAGCTCTGCACTTTTTAGGCACTTTTTAGCCCTGATGTTAAAAGCACAGAATTCACAGAATAGATATTTCAGATTGCCCTCATTTCTGTAGAAAAGAGGTCTCCGGTAAAGCATGACCAAATTTTGAAAAAGAAATTTGTTATGGGATTTTTTTTCTACAGCTTATTGGTAATGTCATGGAGATCACAATTCTATATGTGGTGGGCTTCTTCCTTCTCCTGTCTTTGATGATGTCAGGTCCTTTGTGTGTGAAGACTTGCTTCTTGAAAAGGAGATAAACTAGTCATATCAAGTGCATTACAGCTTTTGTTACTACTCCTGTCTTCAACAGCAGATATTCTTAGCATTTTGTTGAATTTACATTAGAATAATTAAACACAGTTTCAAAATTTGTTTTGGGGAACTGTACCCTTTTTGAATGATGTTATCTATTTTTTAGTGGGCTGGATAATTCAGTTAAGGTTCATCTGAAAGAGCAAAGTTAATTACGTAGGGAGTGACACAAGCAGTAAGGTCAAAGGCTTAGTGAGAGGATACACAGAAAATGTGAAATAAGAGCTTTTAACTGTTTCATCTTTTCCAAAGTACTGTGGGAATGATGAAAAGGAGTGTTGTCCTGTAAGCTTTTTTTTTTTTTTCCTTTGAGGTAGAGGCCACACGCTTAGGAGATTCCTCCATTGACATTGGAAGGGTAACTTGTACGTGCATGAAGTGCTAGGTTTCCTTTTATTCTCTTGAATGGCTGGTGAATAAGAAATTGATAGCTTCTACTGTAAAGAGCTTCAAATGTGGTTAGCCATGTTTTGTTTAACTTACGTGGTTTTTGATACAGAAATTGGGAAACAGTTTTAATTTTATAATTTAAATTGGAGTATTTATTTCTTTCTTCTTTGTAATTGCTGAATAATTGAGATGATGTTCTAGGAATGTGTTATGCAATATTGCACAAAATAATATGGGATATCTTGATATCAAGAATAGCCTTTTATCATTTTATTCTAGTGTGCAATATGACCCAATCTCATGTTGGAATTTTTTAAGCGTATTTGTTTTCATCTTGATGCCTTGGAGGGTGTTTTTACGAAAGACTTGATCACTACTACATTTGATGCTTTTATTCTGTTGAATTCATCAGTATTTACTGTTTGCCTTTTATATAACATCTCTTTTAGCATGTGATATTGCTAGGAATTTTGAACATCTGTGACTATGTTTTGTGTCATAAAACAGAGCAGCTTTTAGATATGGTTGATGGTTCTTTCAGTCCAAAATTTATTAAATACTGTCTATTATGTTCATAATTCCTTAGTGTTACGGTTGAATTGTGGATAGTAAGGATGATTTTGTGCTGTGCTATGATTTTCTTTCATATATTCTGGCTTCCCCTGATGCCTAATGCAGTTAACACTTTCATTTACTTAATTGTCTATCAAATGGAAGCCTGCTGAAAAAAAATCTTTGAACTGACATTGGATCTACACATTTATAGTTTGGTTTCATGGATGTAAATTAAATGTTTATAAATTTGAGTGATAAATGGGAAAGAAATAATTTTATAGTTGGGTACGTTTGTGGTGGTTTTTTTCTGAAATGTTTAATTTTTTTATTTTCTCTCTGTTTAGGGCTGAGGGTAGCCCAGGATGGCCGCAGCTTCATATGATCAGTTGTTAAAGCAAGTTGAGGCACTAAAGATGGAGAACTCCAACCTTCGGCAGGAGCTAGAGGATAACTCAAATCACTTAACAAAACTGGAAACGGAGGCATCTAACATGAAGGTATTGCAGGCGCTGGGCATGTGTGCACCACGGTTTCTGTGACTGCATTTTGTGTGACGGACTGGTAGTTGCTCAGCAAGTTCTATTGCTTATAGATTCCTACAAAAGTCCTTTCCCAGGCTGTGTAAGGGAAAACTATTAAGTCTCCTTAGTGAAGAATTCTTTTTTTTTTTTTCTTTTTAATTTGAAAATGTAAATATTTCAAAACGGTTTTTAAGAAGGATCTTCCAGTTTTCAAACTACGATTTTAGCACTGCTCTATTTATCAGCAAGGGGTCCAGTCTGCTGACATAATTTGACAGAGCAAGTATTGTTCAGCTCTTGAAAACATGGGAGAGACTGGAGGTTTCCAGTGTTTTAAGGTAAATTTTAAAGTTTTGGGGTTTACTACAGTGAGGAAAAGTTAATTTTAAAATAAGACTACAAGTTCTCCTGCCTCTCCCAGGGCCTAAATTCATAGCTTCACCTAGATTCATGCATCCGATGTTTGTTGGCTATAGGTGTAGGCTTTCAGAGCCACCTGTCCAAGGGGAAACACTAGGCTCAGCTGGAATTTCGGTGAATTCTGATCAGTAGGAAGATATATACACACACAGCTGCATCTGTGTGACCCATGATACTGAACAAGGCAGAATTTCTTAAGCATTATAGCTGCGTTAGTGCTCTTCCTAAACTGACAAATCCTGCTGCCTTTTGCTTGCAGCGAGCAAAGCCAGACTGCTTTTGGTACCTCAAAAATTGTTGATATCTCTCCATATACTCCTGTATATAGTAGGCATATTCTTGATATTAAACATTTGTATGTCCATCTCCTTGCATTCCAATATTCATATCACAGACTTGCTGTTCCTCTATAACTAATTTGTTTTTTTTTTCAATATGGTAATCTGGTGAATAACAGCAATGAAAAATATTTTGAACTGGACTTTCTTTTCCTCCAGCTTGTAGGTTGTGACCTGAATATTCACTCTAATAAAACAACTTCTCTTGTGTTCTGAAGCTCTGTTACTAGTTAGAACACCTAAAGGAAGCACACATTTTTCAGATGTGTTTAATACTTGCATTGTGGTGTAAAATGAAAATGGCTCTGATACCTAAACTGAAATTAAGTTATAGTTATTTGCACCAGCTACTTTAAACAGTGTTTGGTGTTAGCATCTGTGGAAAAAACAAAATTCTTTCTTTGTTCAGTTATATATCTGAAAGCTAGTTCTGTCATTTATATATTTTTTCTTAATACGACAGCAAATTTGTCAGTAACTCCCTTTCCCTCCCTGTCATTGCAGTCTAAAATAAGGGAGAGAAGAAAAGGAGAGAAGGTCTTGCTCATAGTTTGAAAAATAGAAAATGTCTTTTTTCCTTCCTTTGTCCCTATTCAGTTCCTTTTCTTTCTTCTTGGTTTAGGGGTTGTTTTGTTGTTGTTGGCTTTGGGGTTGGTTTGGGTTGGTTTTTGTTTGTTTGCTTGTTTTTTAGTTTTTTTGCAGATAATTAAATTTCCCTGACCTAGAGACAGACCAGCTGTATAAGCTGGTCTCTAGGGCATTAATTTGGGATGTGGAGCAGCTTTCTGTCATTACTTCAGAACTGGCAGACCACCAAATGGAGTGCTTATGAGCATATTCAGAGTAGATGTCACATTTTTTTTCTCTCCCAAAATGCCATTCTAGACCTAAGGAATTTATCCTAAAAACCTCCAACTCAAATATCAAACTCAATATGTATATTTTCATTTTAGGGCATGGATGGGAAGCAGATTGTTCAGATTAATTTGACTTTTAAAATAAACCTTCATATTCTATAAAGAAATCCTAATCACCTGGGTTCCTCAGGAGTACTTGTTTCTACACCTGAACCAAGAAGCTATTTGTTTCGCTTGTTTGTTTCAGATGTATTTGGAAAGAATTGAAACCTAACTTTGACTTGACTTGGAACCTAAAGGATGGGATAGGAATAATCTTAAAGTCTTATTGGAGTCTGTGGGTGAAGTTCTGTGGGGATCATTGCAGAATTCTCTTTAGTCAGGAGATAATTTTAGTTTTGCAAGCCTTTGGAGAAAGTATGTGATGGCTTTGCTCCACTGAAAGAAACTGCATGGTTTGTATCATTCTAGTGCCATAACTGGGGATAATTACAAGGAAAGTAATCAGAAGAACCAGAGCAGTGGAAATTGAAAGCCCTTTGGCTAACAAATAGGCAGTTAAAACTCCAAGTATTTTGGAACAGAAAAATACATCCTTTGGGGAGCATATAAGTGTCACAGAACCCTGGCAGCCCCTCACACCATGTAAAATGCCAAGTATTAGTCCGAGCACGGGAGTGGTAGTGGGGAAGACAAGCTGTGGTTTTGTGGCAAACATCACCGTTCTTTCACCATGAATTTTGATCTGTGGGCTAGTAAAGAAACATCTCACAATGATTCTTTGGACTGTTAATGTGTTTGCTTGTGTCTCCTCTTTTGCCTTATATTCATTAATTGGTTGTGAAAGGGAGTAGTTAGGAAGGGCATTTCAAAGATGATATTATATCTTTAAAGAAATTGATTTTGGAAGTAGTAGTGTTAAAACGTTGGGTAAGTGTGCCTCATCTTTATAAATCACTCCATTTCAGAAACAGACAGTAATCATACTGGAATTAAAAGCTTAACATGAGCTCATCTTGCACATGTATTTATTATAAACTACTGCTGACCTACATAAGAACAATGTCTGAATACTTCAGGTTTAAAGCTATATTTAAGATTTAAAGGTGAAGTCTGTCCACTTTTTGGACAGAAAACAACATGATGGGTAAACAAAGATAAATGTGATAACAGGGATGTCAAAATGATTAGTAAAACAGTGTCCACATTGCTTTTTAATTTGTGTTGTCCTAGGGATTAACTGTTCAAACAAAAGAAATCCCTTGGAGTATTATAACTAACTTGGGAAATTCAGTTGTTACTGTTGGCTGACTGTCAGATGAAATCCACCATTTTTGTGTGATAAAATGCTCTCTCTAAATCGACAAGTATGCTGTCTGATGATCAATGAAATAACGATGCTGGCCCATAAATGAATAAAAACGGTTTCAGTGTTTAGATGTAGATAGTAACATCAACTGCATAAAAAACAGACTGTGGACAAATTTAGGAAGAAATGAACATAAGTTCTGTTTTGATTCAAAATCTGTAAAATTCATGAAAAGACAAAAAGCAGGCCAACATCAGCTGTACTACTTTGTGCATGTAAAAGTAGGAGACATTTTGTGAGACCCTCCTGCCTGGTTTTTGTAAAAGACAAGTATTTTTTCCATTAAGGATGGCATATATGGAGATTTTCATAGCTAATTAATATCAGCTTTTTTCCTTGTATAAAATCTGGGGAGAAATACATGAAAGTTAACTTTGAGAACTCAAGAAGTAGCGGAAGAATAATGTCATTCTTGCTTTCCACACTCTTGAGTGCTTGGATTTTACAGTAAAGGAGTAATTCATCTTATCTTGTGTAAGAAAGTGTCTTTGTTATATGTGATACTCTGTGCACAAAACATTCTTTTTCATCTTTATGCAGTACACTTTAAATTATATTCTGCATAGGAACTTTCAGCTTATTTAACATCCTCTGTATTGTGCCCACATATGTCAATAGGAAGACAATAGAACTGATTCAGATTTCGTAAATTTGAGAAATGTTCTATACCAGCTAAGCATACACTGCAGATAAACAAGGCAACAGTTAAACTCTTGTTGTAAGAAAATCATGAAGGGGTGTTCCACAGATTGCTTACTTGTTTGTTTGTCCAGGGTGGTTTTTTGGCAGATCGTTGTCCTCATATAAAGGTTATAGTTTTAAAAATTTTCTGTGGGGTTTTTTTTTGGTTGGTTGGTTTAAGGAATTCAGGTTTTAAAGACAAAGTCCTAGAGATCTAGTTACTATCATGTCCAGTTCAGGCCCAAAGAGTGCTTTATTTTTGACATGAATGGTGTTTGTGGGTTTCTTCTGCTAATCAGACAGCAGGGCAATAAACCTTGTGATGCTGTTATGCTGGATTGGAATAGATTTTGACTAAATAAAAAAGCAAGTGTTAAGATAGTTTCAGGATTCCTATTTTGAATGTGTTTGTACAGTGCTAGGATAATATAATGTGGTTGCAAAAGAAATTTGAAGCCTATAACATAGAGTATCCCAGATTTATTGCTGTGTTGTGCATGCTTTCTGAGGTTGATTAATACTCAGATTAGCAAAATTAAAGGTAGAAAGTGTGCTAAAGGAGATGCTGTGGTGCCTGTTTTTCATCTTGTTGCTGTCGTGCTGGATTTCTGAAACTATGAGAAAGCTAATACCTTAATAGAACTGAATGTGATCTTATATTTAAATATGATTATGTTGCATTTTATTTTATCTGCAGATGTAATTTTCTATAATATGTTTTTATGACTGTTTAAAGGGATGAGTATACAGATCCTTAGGAGGAATAGCAGACTGGCTAGCAAGTTAGGAACTTAATAGTTACACTGGCGTATTCGCTTCATTAAAGAGAGGGAATCTGAAAAATGTACTGCTTCCAGCTTGGAGTTAGCATACATTTGTTTATAAGGCCAGAAGATTAATGTTCATATTATTCCAGGCACTAACTGGCTTGCTACATTTTGATGCTTTGTTACACTTTTTCGACATGAACTCCTGGTCAACTTTGTATGGAAGTAGCATTCTGTGATCTATAAGCTGTAGGAGTTAAAAAAGAAACAAATGGAGAGTGCTGATGCTTTACATCAGATACGTCAGTGACTGAATTACATCCTTTTTTTAGAAGTTTACATTTGTAGCAATGGGATATTTCAGATACTGTTGATACGATTTATCCTTCTTGCCTACATTTTAAGGTTTGCTTTAAAATAGCTGGTGAGAGTTTCTGGCTTTCGGAGTGTGTGACTGGTTTTATCAGATGTCTCTGTGATTAAGTAAGCAGGTGGTCATATTGTCTTCTAACTCACCAAATCAATTCTATGGTCATACAATCTG